AGCTGGTAATATTGCTGTGACTACTGCTTGGGTTATTGAAAGCGGCAAACTAAACTGACTAAATTTGAATTTGTCTGGATGTTTTATCACGTGGATTCTCTAGTTAATAACCTCCAATTTCGCTGTACCAGGTTTAGTGACCTTTCATTCAATGTATTTCGATCAAAAGCGTTAATCCACGTAAGTGAACGGAGACTTCATTTGTGCCGAGTAGTGAGTTTGTTTTTCATCACCTGGTGTACTGTTCACGTGCCGTCCATCAACCAAATGTGCAAACAGAACCGCATTAGCAATGTTCGTACAGTGTTCGGATGTTTGATCGAATGCATCAGTGCCTGACAAGCGTGATTAAGCACATACGTGCTAACCGCTCGCGGGTGAATTTCTGGAGTGAACAGCCACTGACAGTAGTTACGAAAGCACGTTGTTTTGTTATGCCAAAGCTATAAGCTCACGAATACACCAAATCTGTTTTGATTTCTCACGTGCGGACTACATTCGACTAACGAGTGCGTTTTGCACAAACTGGTCACCTCGATTGCCGCGTTCTTTTCCATCCTTTTGTTACAATACGCTGAAAAATCGGCTGTAGTTCCCTGATATTCAATGACAAAATCTTGAAGTTACTTTTTTCGTTCAGGATGAAGTCGCGTAAAGCGAGATATATCTATGTTGTCAGAAAATCATCTACTTTCTCTTTCCTCTTTACTTTTAATCATCCGCAACATAATCTCGTTTTTTCGTTCAGGATGAAGTCGCGTAAAGTGAGGTAAACCTATGTTGTCAGAAAATCATCCACTTTCTCTTTCCTCTTTCCATTTAATCATCCGCAACATCATCTCCCGGTTTTTGGATGAGACTTGTTCACCAACATACAAATTTTATGATGTACATCATTCCTTACAGCCCAGTCACTGCATTGGCATTGGTGTTGATCTCCTACGCGAGTCACGATCCTTCGGGCTACTATTGAAAGGTCGTTTCTCCTGTTTGAAATTATTATCCAGCCATAGAATTCCATGTGGACAAAACACTTTGAAACAGGTTGACGGAAACTCGAGGACTGCGCATACTTGATGAGCCCCAAGAAGGGCGAGAACGGCCGTGGACTGTCGAAGTTTGAGCAGCCTTATGAGTAGTGCATTACGATGTTCTACAGCCTTTTTTCCGCTAAAAGGCTGAATCTAAAGTTACTGCACGATTTACTCGCTGGTTTTCAGTTGAACGGAAAGGAAACGAGAGTGCTTGTTTGTACTGAAATGCTTCTTCCTAACCCTTCATGGTTAGATTTATAAGGTGGTTTAAATACTCCGTGATGGCTCACCACCCTTTGATGATGTTTAGAAGAGACCATCAGGTAGGTCCAGCCTCCTCTCATCCAGCAGAATTTTTCCCTAACTGGATAACAGATTACCAACACGCCGACTAGCCTACCAACGCATTTTGAGTTTTATTGCTAATGAAATTCCTCTGGGAATCTTGTGAAGCTAAACTGGATCTCTTGAGGTTTTCTAGTCGAGTGTGCAGCTGTTCGTCTCATTTGCGTAACTTCAAGCCATACACCAGAAGTCCATCTAAGATCGCACCCACGTCTCATATCCCGTACAGTGAAAAATCAAGGGAGGATTCTGAGCTGACATAAAAGCGGACCATTTTAAAAAATAGGCCATTGCTTATAATTTATACAGCTCATTNGCGGACCATTTTTAAAAATAGGGCATAGCTTATAATCTATACAGCTCATTTCCCATTCCTATAGCGGGCGTTCTTAGCGTTCATTGAAAGTTATACCGGAAGATCACAGAGTCCATATTTATTCACTGACTAATTTAGTTATAGTTATTCGCTGGTCAGCTGAATGGGTGTTCTGTACGCCTCCTCTACCGCCATTCTATCCCTCAGCAGGAATTGATGAAATCGATTGTCGAAACCCCATAACAGACTGGTGTAAGTTCCTTGAGGCGAGTTTACATTATCTTCAATATGCTGACTCAGTCAAACACGGAATAAGCAAAAATACAGGATGCAGCCAAAAATGTCCTATTTCCCTTTACCTGATATGCAACGCCTTCTGAAGCGTTGTGTCTGTTGCCAGGATGTAACTTTTCAAAGGTTAGAAACCAAACGAGTTAAGACCGAGCGAGAATCCGTTAAATGTACTTTCTTTCTAACAGATCTTGTCATCTCGCTGGAACCGGATTTCACCGAATGTGTTCACAAAAATGCTATGAGACCTGCATTCTGGTGCCAAATCGTACCAATAGTCTATAACTGTTCAGCTGATGTTTCTCTAATAAGCGACTCCCGAGGTCTTTTTCCTCTCGCAGGTAGTGTTAGAGAGGAGCTTATTCAAAGCCTCCATTCTACTCCGAGTGACTTGATAATCAAATGATCAGGTCGCTGCGAACCCGAATGGAACTGTGAAATGTTCCTCTCAAAACTCTATCGGGGTAGTGCGATTAAGAAGCTGAGCGAATTATTTTCTCGAGACTCTTCTCCAGGATTCAGCATTTGGGTCCACAAAGGTAATGGTGACTTGTTTGCGATCAGCGAGTCTTACTAGACAGTTTTTCACTTATCTGCCTTTTGGTAGGAGTTCAACATACACAGTGCGTCTTTTTCTACTCCGATCAACTCCTTGAAGACGTCAAAGCCTGGGAACATCACAAACGAGAGATTCAGCTGGGTTCCAGGTGAGTCTCTCGGAAAACCAAATTAGTTTGAAAATGAGTGTATTTCGCTAATTTCGTGCAATTCGGTTTCAAGCAGAACATAAGGTTGACGGATACTCGGAAACTGCGCATTCCTGATGATCCCCAAGAAGGGCGAAACCGGTCGTGGGCTGTCGACGAATTTTCAGCAACCTTATGAGTAGTGCATTACGAATGCACATGTATCGTGGTACCTCGAATATCGTAGCGGCTGAAACATGAGGCGGCCTGGTGCAGCCCATTCATCACATTAGAGTCAGCTGGTTCCAGGTGAGGCCCCCAAAAAACCAAATTAGTTTTCAATTAAGTGCATTTTGCTAGCGCCAAATTCTCCTTATCTCCCCTCCTGAACTGCTAAATCGTTTTGGAAAGTTCTGAAAGGCGGGGTGAGGCATATACCCTTGGACAGTCAACGGGTGTTGATGCGTGAAACTATGATGAGTGCGCCTAGATCTCGGTCCGCAAGGATGGAGCCGGGCTTATAGCGAAAAAATGTTATGTATAAGCAATGTTACCAAAACATCTGAAATTGCAGCCTCTAGGAATGAGAGGAAAACCTGCTACAGACTACTCAAAGTTAAAGCTTGTTCTGTTGTGTGGGCGGTAATCTTATCCAGGGGAATACGCTTTTGTAAAGAACGAATTTACGATTATCAAAGTTTGTTTTACTTTCGAACTGCAGTTGCCCTCTAACTGTTGCGCATCGGCCAGCAACAAAGCATTGTGGACTGGTCGTTTTATTCAACTGTCTAAAAGGTTTTTTGGGTGCATTTCTGCCGCAAGCTATATTTCTATGTCAGCAAACATTTCGGCAGTATGTATGAATGCGTTGAGAAAACACAACAAAACATACACAAAATACCAGACTGTTGGTCTGCGCAGGACTCCCCAAAATAACGTCCAACCTGTTTCTTCTAGCTATCCTTGTGGAATTTTTGCTGGAATGGGGACGAAGTTCTTCGCTCCGTCGTGACACCTGAAGACTTCCAAAGGTCTTACTAGGACGTTCTCTCATGTCAAGTCCTGTGGATCACTTTTCGTAATTCTAGTTCCCGATTCAACGGTCTCAGCAGAGTCACAAAAATTATAAGGTTTATAGACATAGTAAGTTTTGTTAAGGAATTCAGGATTAACTCAGGAACGCGGCAACACTGAAAGACAGCACGACATAAACAGCAGGTGAAATAACATATTGCTTGGACGACTGTTCCTGGTGGCTGTCGAGCTGCTCGTTGTTGTGAATCTGCAATCCCAGCAGTGTCCTGAGGCGAGTGGCTTCTATGTTCAGGCCAATACTTTGATGGTTAGATCACGATAATTCTGCACCTGGTAACCAGTTCCCACAACACATAACTAGAGCCTTTCCACGAATTTCAGGGAATTTTTAATGTACTACAAACTGCCGGATGCTATACTGGCTAGAGATCGTGAACCAGGTTAGGATAGGGATAATATTCCCTATATACCAGTTTCAGACTGATGAAGTCAGGTTAACGTCACCTAATGATTTTCTGTCGTTCAATTATAAACAGTTTGGCTGCTCACTTCTCAACTAGTTCATCAGTGTTCTTGAGTTGTTAACTTTACACACACATTTTACACTTCAATTCTCATAGGATTTGGATTGTGGAATGGTTATACGTCGAAATAATTCTTGCTCCAGTGTGTTATTTGGTTGCAGATCAGGTGGACGTTGGCCCAATCTCCGAGCTTAGTGATCTGCTTTCACGTGTTGCCATCAACTGTCGGTGGCTCATAGTGACAAACGCGATTGCAAGCTACTCAAAAATTGTAAGTAGCCTAAACTATCGGTGGTTCGCCGCACGGTGCCTCTGCATCCCAAGTACGTCCGCCTGATTGTCGCATAACTTAATACCCTGTAATTTATACTGGCGTATACACGGTACTGTCCAGAGTTACAGTACATTAATTCAACTGCGTCATACTTAAGGCCAGCAGGTAGGGGAATCCTACCTGCGAGCAACTAAAACACTTCAATGGAAGAATGCAAGCCAGAGACCGAATGTTCAGCAACATCACATGTGCATCTGTTTAGTCTTGTGCTTGAAGTATGTGAAATGTGAACCATTCCAGACCTTTTTATGCCTGACTTTTACTAATTAGCATTTGGACCTTGCTGATATAGTGGAAAGGCTGCATGGGTTGCACCGGTTGCGACCAACAGGATGAGTGATAATGGAGAGGATAAGAGCATTCCATGAAACAGCTGGAATACTTCTGCTGAGATTCTGCACGAAGTGTGGAAGAGCGCGAATGCATTAAGGTTCACTAATAACAATAGGCACCGATGTGATTCCTGCTTAGGCCTGAAGTGTAGAAGAGCGCGAATGCATTAAGGTTCACTAACTGTCTCGGTGAGTGTAGGCGCGTTGAGAGATTAGAAAGCGCAGCAGTAAGGATGATTTTGCATAGATACGAGTATCCATTCTCCAAGCTTCTCTTCACATCTTCAGGAGCTCAGCGAATAAACTAAACGTTTAAACGAAGCTAAATCAAATTGAAAGGCGAGGCATCAGTAGAACTCTTTGAGCTTCACTTTTCAGTCTTCCGTGGTGAATCTCTCTCTCTATCATTTTTGAAGCAGCTGGTCTCGATTCAGACTGGTCACAAAACTACTGTCGTCTGAACTTCGGATAAACCTGATTGACCGTGGAACAACAAGACATATAAACTCACCTATCACACGAGAATTCCAGAACACAACCAGTTAATCAGCGACGTCGTCCAAATTTATCCATTAAACAAAAGAATGGCTGTATCGGAGGACACTTTGATTTGATCAATAATTGAGGTAAAGCGAACACGGTGTGAACGTCACTCAGGATGCAGTAAATAATCCATATGACTGTAAATCAGTGACCTTAATGGTAGAAAAATTAAAAAATTTTGCCAGGCCAAATCAGGTCTGCCTTTAGGGTTCATTAAAAATGCGATACAATGCTCCCATCAAGGCCAGGTTAGACATTACAAACCCGACCAAGCGGTGTAATTTTGGACAGCTTACTTGTACACGCCCGACTAAAACAACCAGTTCAGTGATAATCGAAGCACGACAACTTTGTTTCCTTCCAGTTCATCAGTTCAGTTTGCTATCAGTCCATCCCACACAGAGCTGATCTGCAGAGCTATCCCCGAGTTTAAAACAGTCAATACATGGAGAAAGTCCAACAGATTTATTTCGAGCCAGAGACTTATTCCTATGCAAATCCTTTATTCGCCTGTCATGGTACATCCTCATTTCGATTGAACGTCTCTTCATAGCGGCATTTGGCTTCTGTTGACAGGGCGTAATACTTAGAAGATTGTTTAAAACTCTTCGATATTCCAACGACCTGTTTCGTCCTTGGGGCTCATCAGTTAGGCGAAATTCCCCAGTTTCCAACAAATCATGTTTTACTTGAACCCAAAATTTGCTGAATTCGTGAAATTTACTCATATGCAGACTTACCTGAATCCCTGCTGAATCTCTTGTTCATTAAGAACATCAGAAACGAGAGATGCAGCAGGATTTGGTCGAATCTGCCTTCAAAATTACGGTTGTGTGGAAATGAGCATACCTCGTGAGCATTCAACTTTGTTTTACCGCAGAGGAGATATTCGGGAGTAGTTTCCGGATCTCCCACCATATGTCAAAAAGTTCTCAGCTCATGTTCTCAGCTTAAAACACGTTTTAAGCTCATTCGACCTTGTTCAGTTAATACTCCATAGTTACAAGGCAATTCCCATCTGGTTCTACGGTTCTATATTGAAGACAAGAGTATAGCTTGCCCTAAGATAATGTGGTTATGCAGTGCCTAAGTAGTGCCTAAGTAGTACCTTTGAGAAATCATATCAACCCTCTTACTCCTTCGACTAAACAATTTCGTATCGAGGTCAATTAAGACGGTCATGAGGCAATTACTGCGCCTAAAAAAATGATGCGTTCCACCCAAGATGCTTCGCGAATATTTATAAAATGTCACGTCTTAAGCTGGTTGCTTAAGTACCACGGAAAACATCCATTTGAGCACTTTAACCAGGGGTTGTAAGTTGCAGCTTTTGTCTTCTAGCTCACGCCTACTCGAACTGATTAAATAAATAGAGCTAGTGTTTTCGAATCCATATCACATGACAAAAAGTTTTTCTCATTTACGCGTACTACTCGTACTGATCCCTCCAACCACCGTGTGTCATCTTATGTCCATGTACAGTGTCCCCAATACTGATTTGTTTACAATTTACGTGGCTCCCTAGTTCAGTTTGTATTCATTTGGTTACTTTGAAGCAATGAAACGAACTGACCTGAAGTAAAGTGCTTTTGTGAAAATAGGCAGTAACAAGCTGAGTGCCGAAACTAGTAAGTACCACCAAGCCAGTCAGTCGAATGGAGTCGATGTTTGTAGGTAAATATAGCATAAAAGATGAATAAGTTATGCTAAGTAAGGTGGAAATATGGATGGTCACAATGGAAGAACAAAAGGCAATTCCTCACAAACGTCTGTAAACGTAGAAGGCTTTGAGACAGTTGGAAAGCTAACCTTATTCTGAATCAGAATCTAAAGTCAAGAGAATGAACATCATTCATGACCATCAGGTACCGTGAAGGAAACAGTGCGGTAAACAGAGCATTGACTTCCTTTTGAAGCAGCCATTCCATTCTAAATGACCGTAAACTGCTCATGCCTGTGTGGATTGAATGACTCAGCTATAGGCTCATCGGGAGCACTGCCGGCGTGTCCCAAAAAAGTGGGCGTGGCACATTAATGGTTGTTTTCCTGTCCAAGGAGGACACGTGGAAGGCGTCGTATTGATCAGACTTTAAGGAAACTGACTGTACTAAGTCTCTCTTGTGAAAGAAGTTAGCAACGGTTTGGTGATGCTTAGATAAAAGAGCTGCATCCTGTCCCGTTTTCAAACGCGTGTCCTTAGATAGCTTAGTAGAATTCAGGGCAAGTCAAACTGTCGTTCTGTTTTGTCAACAAGCCTGGCCAAATGCAGGAAAATAGACAAAGACTTTATCTCATGCCATAGAGATATTGTCGGTCTGAATGTTCTTCTGCATGTGCACGATGGCAGTGGAGAGAAGGTTGAAGTTTCATATCCAAAAGAAGAGAACTGCTTGGAAGTCTATGGGACTGTTCATATTTCATAGTATTTTGGTTTTCAGGTTCACTTACTTGAATTTAAGCAAAGGTGATAACATGAGTAACATTCCTTTCCTGTAAACAATTCTCCTTTTATTGCTTACGCAACTCTGATCAATTATTCATTGATGGTGGAATTCGATTAGCTAGATTTGAGTTCCTATATTTAGCATGAAATAGTACTAAATACTCAGATGGATTACACAATTGCTCTTTACGTTGAGTTATGTTATTTCCTTTCACGGAGGAATTGTAAGGGACACTATTCAGTAGAAGTCCTTGGAGATGTCTTATATTTTACGGAAGGCGCACTAGATCGCCACCGACGTAGAATGCTTGTTGTGGACCCTCTTAGAAGACCAAGCAAGACCAGGACCACGGGAGGCACATCTGTACTACTGTGACTCTTGCTATCGGATATGACCGCATGACTGCGCAGAGACGTCTCACAGTTGAACAGACCGAGTGTTACATTCCATCTGGACAATCAACTTAGAGCCCCTCTAGCGGACTAAATGTGTTGGATCCAAGTAGCCTTCAATCCACAAAACCGGGCCACAAATCAAAAGGGGTGGGATCTTTCCCGCATTTTTCACATCAAATCAGATATCATCCTGAAAACCTTAATTCAGCGCGGTGCTCGGTTTGGCATTTTTTACATCAAATGAGATATCATCCAGAAAAAAAACCTTAATTCAGCGCGATGCTCGGTTTACTACTATTAGAAATTATTTCTGGGCAGTCTTGACTACCGAAATCTGCTAACAAAATACCTAGGCATTTAAGCTAACAAAAATGCGACACTTCAGCATCTTAATGCATAAAAGACGCTGTATTTTTAGCAGGTTCACACAATTTCTGCTGTTTCTTTTTCATATAAGAGATAAACAGCCGGCTTCGTTTTACCTTGGGGTTAAAAATGACATTCACCTCAAAGGAAACTACTATGAAACTATGAAAATATACTGCGATATCTCGAATATCGTGCCAACTGAATCATGAGGCGCCCTGTGTGCAGCACAGTCAGTTGTAGAATATCATAAACGAGAGATTCAGTTGAGTCTCTCATGAAAACCAGATTGATTTGCAAATGAGTGTATTTCTCGAAGACACTTACCTTAACTGGTGGAAAATAGGTAATGCGGCCGGATCTCAATCGGTAGTTTGCACACAGGCGTCAGTCTAGTAGAAGCTACTGGCCTGCCCAGTGGACTTGGAAAGCACTACACGGAGAATGAATGTGATCGGACCAAACTGTGCTAACTGTATCAGCATGGCTCTTTTACTCCGACAGACACGTCGACCAGAATGACACCCAAATTATCAAATAGACGAAACGCTGTCGCTGATCAATATTTTGCATGCAAGCTTCACAAATCATCTCACGCTATTGCGTGGAGATATAGCAATGTGGAATTGGCAAGTAATGTATTCCCCTGCCATCGGACCTAAGACTTGGGAAAAACAATTCAGTTATCATCGGTCTGCTTTACAGTATTCAAGAGAATACAGTGTGTGAGGTTTGAGTTAAATCTGACAGCAGTTGTTCGTATGGAGCGACGTTTTTGCATACAGATCCAAAAATACCTATTGGAGTTGATGCATACAGGATACTGTCAGAAATCTTAGAGTAAAGCACAGGACAGGATTCTCCTCTAGATTGTTTCTCTGTGTAAGATGAGAAAAAAAGACGCCACTAAGACGGCCTTAAAAGGGTCAGTGTTCCAAAATCTGTAGTCGTTAATCAAGGCCGGAATGACCGACACAGGGCAACATAAAGTAGAATGGATTCTTGGGGAAGCCGGTTGCAAGTTGGCCAGTGGCAGGCCGAAATGCAATGCATTAATTAGACTAAATAAGACTTGAGAGAAAAGATCAACTTCCCTGTCTGAGGGTGCTCCTCACCTGCTGGCACACATTACTACGGGCCGCCTTGCTGTAAACTCGTTCATTTACATCTCCTAGTGGTTACGTGACAACAATGACAATATAAATGAAACGGTAAAACTTATCGCCGCTTGAGCACATTGTGGTCTGCTAAATAACGCTTTTTTTAGATCAGACAATTGCTTTCAAGTTCCAACATTTCAACAAACTACAAAACGCATCTTTGATTCTCACTCTGTTCTTCACTGTGAGGAATTTTGTTAGTCTTTCTGAACACGAGGTGTATGGGAAATCTTCTTGCATCATATAGTTTGGACAACCTCAACTGCATCATTATGATACACTCTATCAAAAGTTCCATCTCAATATCCCTGCGCCGCATGAGCATACGCTCTTGCTTACGCTCACTACATGTAAAATACGGCTTTGTGGGGACGCCTAATGTACTCCAGTCTCGACTGTCGGTCAACTGGAACTTGTGATTTCTGATAAGCACGCTGAAGCGAAAAAGAGACATGGTGGCTTCTAACGGTATCACAATGGTGTCGCTATATATGGTTCTCCGACTACATCCACATACAAAATTATGTCTCGGAATAAGGTTTTCACTCACCCCATTCAAACTACACAGTTCTTTGAACTAGCTTTGATCCATCTGGGTTTAAGGAAAGCATTTTAGAGTTAAAATTGACTATGTCCTTCCACTTTCACTGATCCGTTACTTCTGTTCGTGCGCACAAAAACAAGTCGTTAATCGACTGTACAAAGCCTTGGACTTGCCTGATCTACAGTTCAACTAAAACAAAACGTATTTGGCTGAATAGATATAAATCCAACACCCACAGCACCCTACACTGGTAAATTCGTTGTTTGAAAGACAGAGTGGGCGCGTTTTGCTTTAGTTGAGTATGCGTAATTGTTTTGTTGTTCTCTGTGAACTTCTCTGAGATGATGTTTGTCATAATGAGAGACTGGATGACAGCTCATCGGTCTTTTGGTGTCCCGCTTAGTTGAACCGTCTTTTCACTAACAGCGAGTGAGACCAATACATGGCTGAGCTAAGGAAACGTTGCACACGTTTCATCGCCAACCAGAGTGACATCATCGGTGCGTCTCAATAGCAAACATGGTATTTTACACACCAATAAACGTTTCAAACAAAACTGAGTCAGCATTCGTTCGGAACTTCTTCACAGATATGCGTCTGGAAGAGTCACTCACAGTCTTTGAACAGGTTTTAGTTTACCTTCACACACATTTGACGGTGACTGAACCCGGTCCATTGTATGGCAGAAGGGCCTCTGAAAGCTCACCAAGTTCCACAATACATCCTAGACTGAATGTAATACTTGTTAGCAGCCTTCTGAACTCTCCCATCATTGAACGCTTCTGAAAACGTGGCTTTTATGGAGGGGATCTGTTTTCTTAGAAACAGAAGACCAATCTCTCCGGAAATGATACTTCCTTCTGTCTGCTATTTTTTATCACAATCACAGCCTACTGGCCCAAACATTCATTGAACTATCCGTGTTTTCTTCCTTGTCAGCTTTTGAGTCCACAAAAGACAAATATTATGCAGTCTGCAGAAAAACCTAGCTACAGGCTGGTTAGTGTTAACCATCCATTATTCGTTCCATCAGCGCACACTGCATTAGCCGTTCTAATGACTTTCGATTCAACCTGCCATAAAACTTATTAAAATCCTGATAGACTGTGATAACACTGATATTGTCTGGATGAACACATGATGCAAGCATACTTATAGTCTTCTGACTGCCTACTGAGCAAACATCAGTTTGTTTGGTTATTGGTTGATGCATAAATAAATATAGGATGGAATCAATAAAATGGTGATAAAATAGTTCTAGGAACACCCAGTTTTTTATGACAATGCATGTTACTTCTAAGGAATACCTGATTGAAATCAGTCGCTTGTCTCCAACTCGACCCTAGGGTTACTCTAAAGACTTTGAAATTCGTACTTTCACGTTTACCGAACACTGCAAATACGAGAGGACAGTAGATTACGGAAATTTCCCATTCGGTTGAGAGTGGTTTGTAATTCAAGTGAGCAAAGTTTGTACTGAGACCGGAAGCATAGGAGGCAACTACCAGACAGATTTGTTAGGATGGTGTTGGAACACGCCTCAAAGGGCTTACTGTCTTTTGGGTGGCCATAAATTTTTTCGGGATCCTACAATACTTAGGTGCGTTTTACAATGGCCCAATAACAAAGCAGTGGCTTACGTTTGTAATATACAACTCAAGGTTGCTGAAAATCCATCGATAGCCCACGACCGGTTTCGCCCTTCTTGGGGCTCATCAGGTAGGCGCAGTCCCCGGGTTTCCGTCAACCTTATGTTCTACTTTAAACCAAATTGCACGAAGTTAGCGAATATACACTCATCCGCAAACTAATTTGGTTCTTTCGAGAGACTCACCTGGAACCCAGCTGAATCTCTTGTTTATGATGTTCTCAGGCAGCGATATTTCAAATATCGTAGCGACTGAAACATGAGGCGGCCTGGTGCAGCACATTCAGTTGCCTGAGATCATCATAAACGAGAGATTCAGCTGGGTTCCAGGCGATTCTCTCGAAAGAACCAAATTAGTTTGCAAATGAGTGTATATTCGCTAAAGCAGTGTCTTCTTTCAACCAGCATTAGGAAAAGCACGATTTTGCTGCAGACTCTTTAGGAGAAAGCACAATAAAACTTTGGCATGTTCAGAAGTGATCACGAGGATTTTGAGGTCGTATCTGTCGTACGATCTACGTGTTCCTAATCAACCGTCCTTCATTTAAGAGAACTGATAGATCATCAGAGATTATCCAAAATGTTTTTCAAAACTTTGGTCACTAAAGCTTCATGTTAGAAAGAAAGAAAGAAAGCGTTCAGCTGTAGCACTTTTTCGGTGCCTAGCTGCCATGCCACCCGAAGGAAGCACGAGGGCTGGGATACTGCCAGATTGCCCAAGCCTAGACAGGGGAAGTCGAGTGGCGGAGGTCGGATTCGAACCGCGGACCTTCCGGTCAGTAAATTCTTGCTAACCACTTGGGCCATCTTGCCCATGTTAACCTCATCTGGTGCAACTCTACCTTCAATATTGTAATCACCGGCAGCCATAAACGGGCTTGATGGGTCCAGTCGGCTAAGGATTGCACAACTAAGCGCGTCATGGTCAAGCCAAAACCAACCTGAATTAAATATACTACCAGAAACATGTTTTACGAAGCCCAAAACTTCAGGAATAGTTGCGATGATTACTTAGTTACGTTGGATGATTTTTAGATGAAAGAATTTAATCTCACCCTAACCCCTTTAATAGGCATCACCCTTTCATTAAGGTTAGTTGTGAGCAGAAACTTTCAGCGATGTGACAAACGTTAAAGCAGTTGTTAAAATGGCAACAATCAACAGAAGAAGGCGCATGGATTTATCTGGAATCCACATTGTACAAGTGCACGACGTGAACTTGGACTACCGCATCATCAAGTGCAGTGATGCGAGGAATGACAGACGACTGTCTTTTTCGAATGCTCAGTGAATTTTCTACCTCTTCTGTCTGTCCGTGAATCTATGTCGATCGCTGCTAACTGACATAATTGAGTGAAATGTTGACGTCTCGTCAGTTATATAGTCTCATCACTTAATGTCTTACGTAATCGTAAAACTCATACTTTTATGTGTTCTGCATTATACCCCGCATTCGCCTTTTCCTGGACCTGAGCAGAACTTTCTTGAGGTTAGAACACCAGCTGACGTTCTTGAATAGTGAGTGATGTTGGGATGGTCATGCCCCAGATTGAGATTCATCTTTGGAGGGTGTGTACCAGTGTTTCCTACTAGGAGCTGTCAGTTGACCCAATTTCTTGCGCCTGTATCTTTTTCAAACTATCCTCAAGTATTACGTTATGATAACATTTCAACAAAATTGCACTACATACTGGTCATAACCAGAACAATCGCACTCAATGAGGCATAATTAGACTCACTGTTTAGCTCAGCATGCTCCTCTGACGTTAGTTTAGTTGACGGCATTATCGCAGCCACGTTCTGATTTGCCGTGCGCAGCGCTTGCGAAGACGCGATAACCTGTGAGCTCATTGTGTCCGGGAAGTGAATCTTCCAAATTCGTTTACCACACAAAGGATGAGAACTGAGCACAATATTCTGGTTCCAATATGGCTCTGAATCCAGTTATAATAGGAGGATGATCCTCCAACGAAAGGCAGGGTATCTGCGGCAGATAATCGCTTGTGGGTTCATACACGTACACACACATTCATTTAACCTGTTTGGCTTCCCATACGAATTATACCAACGAAAGGAGGGTATCTGCGGCAGATAATCGCTTGTGGGTTCATACACGTACACACACATTCATTTAACCTGTTTGGCTTCCCATACGAATTATACAAAACACTGAATCAGAAGCTAAGAAATTCCAGACATTTTTGTGTTTGGCAATACACTTAATTTGACGGTATACAAGAATTCAGTCTTTTCTGAGACCACCAGAACTTCGTGAAGTAGTCTTTTACATCTTGATTGATGAAAAATATGCACCACGTTTTAATGAGGAATGCAACAGCTTCTTTGATGATACTTATGTAGAGGCTTGATTTGTGACGATGGCACACTTTCTCATCAGTTGGGCTAACAAGACACAATAATATATTATTAATCGTTCAGCCGTAATACCATTTCGGTGCCTGGCTGCCACGCCACCCGAGGTGAGCGCAAGGGCTGAGATACTACCAAGCTTCTCCAAACTGGATAGAGGCAGCTGAGATGCAGAGGGTGGATTCGAACGACGAATCTTCAGGTCAGTAAATATGAGCGCTAACCACTGACTTATCTCGAGCTCTACCAAGACACTGGAAGAAGTCACACTGTCTACAAGTTTGAACCTGAGGTTGAAATGTCATATTTCATTCAGTTGTACATTTTCTAAATCCTGTTCAAGAGCTATGAGCGACGTTATATTAAGTCAGTTCTAGCTGATCAGTCCGACTAATAGCCCACGATGGAAAAAAGAACGTTGGACCATCTTTATCAATCACAATCAAAGCCAGGTCAGCCAAAAAACGGAGAAAGTACAAATCAGACGGGGATCTCAGTGTAGAGGCCACTGGCATTGCGATGTATAAGGCGATGATGTGATAGCGAAAACGCCAGAGCATGTGGTCAGAGCGAGGTTGATAACGGAAGAGGCCACAGTACAAAATCACACAAACAGTGGCTGTGCACAGTAGGCTATCCCGGAAGTCCCCGTCTTCCGTTTAATAGAAAGTGTTTTGGACCATCCACCAGCACACTATCCTATGAGTAGTGTAATTTGTTATTTTGATAGTTCTACACACCTTGATACCACAGTTTGTTGAGCCAAAAAGGTGTTGTCTGAATTGTGAGTTTGTTTCAGATGAAATGTAAAAGGATACCAGGTTGAAAGAAGATCGATTCTATTTTCCAAAACCATGCGAAAACAGTCATCAAATCGCGATTGTCTGCAGTCATTCTAATGAACATTGATCTCCCCAGTTGCGTTTACCAGCTTTCAAATCTCTTTATCGATCAATGCAACTATTTCCTTCACCGATTTCTAGGTTGTAGTACTGTATGCCTCATAGACACTGATGAGCTAGGAGTGGGTTGAAGATGTGAGCTACGCTACTCTCAAAACCAACTTGAAGTTGCTCCCATTAACTGGTTAGTATATGTTCTGATTGCCAGCTCTTGCCAAGTGCGCAGACTCTTCAACCATTTCATACTAATTTTCATGCCCATATTAAACGACTGGTTGAAGGGAATCTTGTTGCGTACCGCTTTTGCCGAATGTATGCCTCTAAATCATTAGATCTAGCCACAATTGCATCTTTACAGGTAAAAGTGCATTGATTGCTGCGTTGGCACCATTGCTCCTAATAGTAGACAACGCACTGACCTGAAAAATATAAATCCAAAGTGGATGGATCCATCACGATTGTTTCCATAATTATATGTTTACATGTTTGACCCAAGACCTCCTCCGCCTATTGATCTCAATCAAACACAGTTGGGTGCACCGAGAAAGCGCAGACGGACTGAAATTCTAATAAGGCTGTTTTTTATTCTGAGTAAAGTTAAAATAAGGTTGAATATATTATTAAAATTTACAACTCAAAATGAAGCAATGTCTCCAATCTATCTTCCAGCTGTCTGAAATCACACTGGAGGAAGACATTTCCACATATTGATATGGCACTTCTTACATGGTTGATAAGAACCTTCGGGTGGCACATCACCGGCTTCACAATTTTTTGGGCTCACCATACAGTCTTAGTTCCCGACTTTTCAGTAATATCATTTTCTACTTGAACACTGCGTTAGGGCTGTCATGCACTTATTTACATTTGGCCTTGTTGGGAGATTCGGTTGAATCTTAGTTGAATCTGTCGTTCATAATAGTCATTTACTTTCCTGCTGAAACTATCATGTCTTACGAATCAGTAGTTAGCTGCATGTACTTTCAACTAGATGTTTAGTTATCAAATCCAGTTGACAGAATTTAAAGTAACAGGCCTACAAGATGAACCACAGTCAGCATGAAATACATTTTAGATTGCATTTTCAGCACAGCACCGAATTAAAAGAGTTCAACGGTCTTTCAACACCTGCAAAATTCAATTCTCTTTTATTATCCATGTATTAATATCCAAAATCTTACTATCCAACGCTTTTATCCAGTAAGAGTTCGTACAAGGAAAGTTGTCACCTTAGGCCGACTGAACAGTGGATAATCTTCCAAAGTATTGTTCACGATGTCCTTAGTTGATGCACATCTGGAGTATGAGATTGACTTTGGTTGGCTAACTCGAAACAGCGCATTTTTAAACGGGATGCATGTTTCTTCAGCAGTGAGATATGTTAAATTCTCAATTGGAATTTCATATTGCGAGTGGAGTTACTCTGTGCTGAAAAAGTCTGTAAGCACTGTGATGCTATTTCCTACTCAACACTGACTGAACAATACGTGGCACTATATTTCACCTAAGTGTAAATTAATCCCACCGCTGCCGGTGTAATGGTGACACTACTGATGGGGGAGGCATGCGATTAGTACGTTTTCCCGTAAATCCGTTTTGCGTCTCTTGAAAAGTGAGATCTGTTGCGGAATTTGTGGAGTCGCTTTGTAGCATCTGCTTGGATTTGAGCAACAGTCAGTGAATATCCAGAAAAGTTCAGGAGGACGCGTTCAAAGAGAGGATGGGTATTCAGCTTTTGTAAACGATATGCATATGGGAGTTTGGTTTACTGTTCAATAGTCTGTAACTGTTCAGTCGGCATTTTCTAATAAAGAACTCCGCAACGAAGGCCTTCTCGCTTTCACCGGGACCCTTAACCATACAGTATACAACTCAGCTACTAATCAGGAAGCTGGAATTCGAACCCTGCTGGGGATAATTTGTTGAGTTCTTGCAAAGGGGAGACAGATTTCCAGAGCTTCTCGGCTCTGCGGAAGAGGTTGAATTTAATTATAAGCCAAATTCTCAACTG